AAACTCCTAATAAAACCAAATCTAAGTAGGCATATAAAGAATGGAAAATGAATGGCAAAAAAGCATCTGAGTATCTATTTCTAAATATTTAATCAAGTATACACGAAGCAAGTAATGAGCAAACAAAAACATGTCAGTAAATGAAGCAAGAGAGTAGTAAACCAACATTAATGCATATCGGAGATTATGAATAAAGTATAGGATTAATAGGTGATTGTATTGATTATTGATAAGAGGAATACAACGCTGTATATATAGCCATACAGAGGGATTGTTCTTTGCTAAGAAAAAGTTCAAGTTTAAGACATTTCAAGAGCACAACATTATGTATGTAAATGAATCAAAGAACTAGGAGGGCACAATGGACATACCAAAAATTCAAGTATTACACCCTGCCTCAACGCACAAATTTAAATTACTTAGTACTCCGTATTATATAGTTCACTGTCCTTGTTCTTGTTGAAAAAGTGTTACACCCTGCCTCAACGCATAAACAATACAATCAGTACTGCAGTACATACTCCCTTATCTTTGTCATAAACAACACAATCAGTACCCACACGATACTCCACCCCCAGCCAGCCCCGAATACCTCTACCCCAAAAGTAAAAAAAGAAAAAACAGAAATTAAACTTGTTTCGGGGTTTTCTGATGTCCTGCGGGAGAGTTACAATTCCGGGACTGGTATCCTTGCGCCTGTACCTGCAAAACAACGGAGACTCCTTGTGGTGGGAGCTCCGCCTCCAACGGTCAAGTTAGTACTTGTTTGAGGAGTAATAAATGCGGAAAGTAAAGGTGAGAGATCTGGTTCCTCTAGGGGAGGAGTGATCAATGTGTTTAGACTTCTCTAGGTGAGAGTCATCAATTGTTGATTCCCCTTTAATGAGGATTAATTAAGTATTTATAGTCTTGAGAAGCGTGCCAATTTTAGGTTTAGGTTAACCAGGGCAAATTGGGCTTCTCTCGGACTTTGGGCCTTGGTGGCCATTTTGCCTATTTGGCATATGGGAGGCCACGTGGCGTGGCCTGATTAGTCCATGTTGGACCTCTTAAGGTGACAAATGGCGGACGCTGATTGGCCCACGTGGTGGACACGTGGCAGGTCCGGATTGGTCCATTTGTCATGGGTAATTTTTACCCTAAACAAAACTCACAATTCGAAAGAAACCAAAATTCAACAAGAATTCGAAACAAATGAAATCGAAAACAGTTACTTAAACTAAAAAAAAAACAAAAAAAAAACAAAAAAAGAAAACATGAATTTGAAAGAAATGAACTAAAAAAAAAAGAAATTCAACATGCAAACATCAAACAATCATTATAACCAATTGAAACATGAATAATCATATAATCACACTAAATTTATTATTTTGAATACAAAATACCCGAATATAATTAGATTTACATTAGAAAAAAACAAAACAAACTTACAATGCCAAGCGGTGGCTGATGCAGCGTGCAGAAGGGCGGTGGGCGTCTAGTGTCTGGTGGACGTGGTGGTCGCCTGAGAGCGTGAGGGAGGAAGGCTTGCTGGGAGGGTGTCGGCTGAGAGTCTCTGAGAGCAGAGAGAGTGAGGGAGTTACGGAACTTAGGGTTACTGAGGCCTGAGGGTTAGAGATGAAAAGTCAGGGATGGGTTGTTTTGATTTTTGAAAAAAAAAATCACAATTTCCCGAGTTTCAGGTCCGGACCTGAAAACCCCGGTTTTGGACCTGATCCGGACCGGAACCGGAAACCTTGATTTTCAAGGACCGGGACCGGACCTGAATCTACAAGTCCGAATCAGGTCCAGTCCCAACAGGTCCGGTTCAGGTCGGTTTTCAGGTCCGGTCCTGTTTATGTTCACCCCTAGTCCCACATCTTCTCATCATTTCTTATTTCCTGATTCCTAGTAGCATTTAAAAGAAAGTGTGTCATCTTCTTTATATAAAAAAAAAAGCTGCAAAAATTCGGAAGCCGAAACAGATGAAAAGAGCCATGGAAAAACAGATAAGTTAGACGACAAAGCTCATTGAACTCACAGATCAAGGGTAAAATTCACCCTTGATTAAATTGAGTTTTGAGCTATTAAGCCAATAATCTTGACATAAGCCGAAGCAAACTAACGATGTTCATATGAGCCAAAGCTCATTACAGCCGAAGCAAGTGTTCATGTCTGCCGAGGCTTTTACCGCTAAGGTTTTGGCTCCTTATCGAAGTTGTCCTTGCCAAAGGTTGCCGAAGCAAATAGCTCGGATAAGCAAAAGGAATCCAAAGCTCATCGAGCCGAGGCTATCCGAAAGTGCTTCAGCCCTGGCCGAAGGTGTTCTGGGCAAGCCGAAGGTTCTTCAGCCGAGACCGAAGATGTTTTCAGCCTAATCCGAAGGCGTTCGGTGTGAGCCGAAGGTGTTTCAGCAGAAACCAAAGGTGGTTCAGCTCTCCCAAATGCCGAGACCGAAGCAAGGCTGATAACCATTGTCGAGCCGAAGCTTATCTCCTAGCCGAGGTTAGCCATGGTCGAAGCCGAGCCTAGCCGAGGTTCACCCTCGCCGAAGCTTGACTCCCAGCCGAAGGTTCACCCGGCTGCCGAAGTAGGTCCGATCCGAAGCTGAAGAAATTCCCTCAGCCAGTCGGAGGTTCATCTGAGCTGAAGCCGAACCTTATCCCCCGCCGAGGTCGCGGGCCTTGCTGAAGTTTCGGATAAGCCGAAAGTCCTAAAATCACACCGAGGCGGCCACACCGAAGGTGGGGTCGAGCTGAAGGTGGGGTGTCGGACCGAAGGTAAATTCGAGCCGAAGCTTGACTCCTAGCCGAGGCCCATCTAGGTTCAGCCGAGGCCCATCTAGGTTCAGCCGAGCCGAAACCGGTTCATGCCGAGCCAAAGGTGATATGAGCCGAAGGGGTCGCTGAAGAGCCACCAAGCTGAATCCCCGAGGCCGAGGGTATTGCTCCTAGCCTCAAAATCGAAACCTTTTCAAAAGTTTCGTAATAATCCGGATGAAGCAAACAATTTGAAGCAAATATCTTTGGTAATTTCATTTACCATAATTCATATATACTTCGTATAATTTTGTTATTGCTTATACTGGAGTGAAAGTGAAAGCTCATACTTTGTATACATTTTTGAATAAAGTGGGAAAATAAAGCCCCAAATATCTTCCCTGGCCATCAAATTATGGTAGGTGGGTTGGGCTCACTTTCATCTAGACCCACTTATCTAAATTTCTTCAGCAAAAGAAAATGGGTCCAATATTTCGGATCAATATTTTTCTACAAAAAAAAAAAAATCATTAATTATCCTTAAGAAATTGATGATAAAAATAATAATCATCCCATTACTCATCCTCACGATGATGGTGATAAAAATATCATTCTAACGATGACAAGAAATACCTCTCTATCTCAACTAGAAACACGGTTTAACCGAAGTACTTCGAATAAACCAGTTTCTGGGGGACAAGGGGTTAACCCCTAAAAGAGTTGGAAATTTTTAAACTCTTATGATCTTCGGATCAAAGAGTGTTGCCTTTGATAAAAAAGCCCTTCAGACCCACGTATCTGAAGGCTCGAGAGTACCCTTCGGACCCACGTATCCGAAGGCTCGAAAAACTCTTATGATCTTCGGATCTAAGAATGTCGCCTTTGTTAAGCTCTTATGATCCTCAGATCAAGAGTGATCGCCTCTTATGATCTTCGGGTCTAAGAATGTCGCCTTTGTTAAGCTCTTATGATCCTCAGATCAAGAGTGATCGCCTCTTATGATCTTCGGATCTAAGAATGTCGCCTTTGTTAAGCTCTTATGATCCTCGGATCAAGAGTGATCGCCTCTCATGATCTTCGGATCTGAGAAAGTTGCCTTTGTTAAACTCTTAATATCCTTGGATCAAGAGTGAGAGATAGGATGAAGTTCAAAGATTGACATACTTCTAAAATCCGAAAAATATCTCTAGCTACACTCGACGTTTTTAACGGTTTGCGGATCAAGAGTGAGGGATAGGATGAGGTAGTGTCAAAATTGACCACCTCGAAAAAATCCGAAAAATATCTCTAGCAACACTCGACGTTTTTAACGGTCCCCGGATCAAGAGTGAGGGATAGGATGAAGGTCAAAAATTGACGCACTTCAAAAATCCGAAAAATATCTCTAGCAACACTCTAATGATCCTCGAATAAAGAGTGATCGACTCTTATGATCTTCGGTTCTAAGAAAGCTGCCTTTGTTAAACTCTTATTATCCTCGGATAAAGAGTGATCGCACTTGTTAAACTCCTAGTATCCTCGGATCAAGAGTGAGGGATAGGATGAAGGCCAAAAATTGACAAACTTCTAAATCCAAAAAATATCGAATGAAGGTAAAAAATTGACAACCTCAAAATCCGAAAAATATCTCTAGCAACACTCTAATGATCCTTGGATAAGGAGTGATCGTCTCTTACGATCTTTGAATCTAAGAAAGTAGCACCGACTACAATCCATAAATCCAAACAGACAAAAATCTCCGGCCCAATTTCTATTGAATGACTTATTTGGGAATGAAATAAAACCCAACTCATTTTTCAAATAGAATTGGGTCTGGGGGGCTAGTTGTTTGGGTACTATAATGGGTAGGCTCCATTATAGCCTCATAAGACCAAAGGGCCTAAAAGGTCCAAATAAGTCTTACGTTGCTTGGGTCCAAAAGCCCACTCATAACCTCTATATATACCCTACTTAGGGCAAAGGTAAAGGGGGTTGGTCACTGTTACATTAAGATGACCATGAAACACCTCTCTCTCCTAAAAACCTCTCTCAAAAATATCCATTGTTTGGTACTAAGTTGAGCGTCGAAGGTTCCGCCCCGGGGTCCACACCCGGGGCTCGGAGTTCATTTTGCAGGTCCGACGAAGGCCCACGAGGCACATCAGCAGCCCAATGGGGCCCGGTAAGCCATTTTTTGCCGAAACATAATGTAAGATAAAATTAATAATTATAAGAAACGTAAAAAGAGGAGAAAAAGAATGCAAAGTATGAAAAGGCCATTCCGGCTTATTTATTTCTGGGTTTGCTTGATTACTTACACCAATAAATCATTCAACCTTAGTTTTCATTCCAGCTAATATAACAACTACTGTCAAAAACACCCTAATATAAACTACCGTCTTTATCACAAACTCCCCTCAACTTCTTTCTTATCTGATTTTATTGCTTTTGTTTTGTTGGGTTTTTCTTGTAACAAAGTATAATAATAATAAACTTGGTATTATTATCAATACCAAGTGATAAACATGGCAACAACAGCAGAGGAAACAGCTAAGATGGTGGAGACTCAAACTGTCGTGCCGCCGCCACCGCAAACTCCTCCGCAAGATTCACCTGCGCCGGCCGTAGAGGCGCAGGAAACTGTGGTTGTTGCTGAAGAGAAAGCTGTGGAAGAAACTCAACCACCTCCTCCTGCAACCACTGAGGAAGTTCCTGAAACCCCTGCTTCTGTTGAAAGTTAGTTATAATATTCCTCTGTTTTTTTTTTTAAATTTAATTTTTTATATCTTTTAGTTTAATTTTTATAATTTTATATTGTTTGTATGGTATTTTGTGGATATTATAACACTCCAATATTATTATTTTTTTGTTATTTTTGATGGGGGTTTTAATTACTCTGAATTTGTCCATGTGTGAGTTTGGTTTGAGTAGATTAAAGGCGCTTCATGCTGTATTTAGAATTTTTTTATAAATGGGGTTTTATTTTTTTAAGAAAAGTTGTTACAATGTTTTTTTTTTTTTTTTGATATTATGGTTTTGATTAATGCATAGGATTTCTAATATGATATCAAGTGATGGTGAGATGATTAAAATGACCAACTAATAAACAGGTCCTTTTAAGAAAATCATGTAATAGCCAAATATCCATTGATGAGTAGTATTCATGGATAAGTGCTTTTAATCATGCTTTTTTTTTTTTTTTTTTTTTTTTTTTTTTTTTTTTTTGGTTTTGCAATATGATTTTGAATGGTTACAAAGATATAGATTTTCATGGGTTTTCGATTTTTTATTATTATATTTTTTTTTCTAATTGTGTTTTTAAAAATCTATGGTATGGTTGATATGATTAAAATTTGATATTTAGCTACCAATTTTTGTCCCTAATTCTATTTAGTTTAGTGAGGCTTGAATTTTGATACTTATTGAATGATATAGCTCACCAAAAGAAAAGTACACTTTGTACAATTTTTGTTTCTGGTACTCAAGCTTGAAATAGGTACTAAATCTTTAAAAAGTGTATGTTCCTAAAAAAGAAAGTAATATGTTCACTCCAATAGTTCATAATCTACATGAAATTGATTTACTGACTACGAAAAGATGACAAAAGGATCTTTTGCTCTAGCGTACGCTTAAGGTTTCATTATATTTTTTGTTTTTTGGTTCATAAGAAGCAACAAGACAATTTTGTTGAATTTGAACCTAAGTCTTAGGTTTGCTCCTTTACGGCTTTATCATCTGAGCGAGCTTACATAGGCCACTCGGCCTTAATCTAAGCACGATCAGATGATAAGCTTGAACCTTAGTCTTGAGTATATCACTTTGTACTTAATGACACTAACAAGTAACAAGTAGTGTGCATATAAATGAAACCAAAAAGTGATTTTTTGATTCAATCACTATGTTATTAACTTTTATAATGATATACTTGTAATTGACTTTTAGTAAATAATTTGATTTTAATGTGTTTATTGGACAGAGGTTACAGAATCATCTGAGGATAAGCCTAAAGAAGAGACTCCTGCTGAGGAGAAGCCTGTAGAGGAGAAGTCTTCAGAGGAAAAGCCTTTAGAGGGCTCAACTGGTAGAGGTAATATTGTCATTCATCTTATTGTAAATGAGTTCAGTATTTGTTATTGCGATTTTACATATATTTTGATTGTTGCATTCAGATGCTCAGCTTTCAAGAGTTCAAACCGAGAAGAGGAACTCATTGATCAAAGCATGGGAAGAAAGTGAGAAGTGCAAAGTCGAAAACAAGTAAGATTACTTTCAGTCATGTCATCATTCCATTGTTTTGTCTTGAAGTTGCTGAGGGACAGGCTGAATTACTGAAACACAATGTTTCGAATACAAATTTAAGTGAACCAGTCCTCAGAATGTTCTCTAGAGCTGTTCTTGGACAGATTTTACATGTTACATACTACAAATCTAGTATAGTTTGAACCATATTCTAGTTTTAAGCCTTTGTCGTCTGAATAATGCATCTAAACGATACTCTTTGATGGAAAACATGGGACTCATTTATATACTAAATGAATTGAGCAGGGCACAAAAGAAAATTGCTGATGTAGAGGCATGGGAGAACAGCAGGAAAGCAACTGCTGAGGCTGAGTTAAAAAAGATGGAGGTATAGTATTGCCATTGATTTTGTCTCTTTAAGTATATTGTGATGCGCGATAGAAGGCTCTTTAGCTGATGAGGATTTCATGAGTGCAGGAAAAGTTGGAAAAGAAGAAGGCAGAATACGCGGAAAAAATGAAGAACAAAGTGGCAATGATTCACAAGGAAGCAGAGGAAAAGAAGGCGTCAATTGAAGCCAAACGTGCTGAGGATATTGTCAAAACAGAAGAGTTGGCTGCTAAATATCGCACCACAGGAAAGCCCCCCAAGAAAATTCTTGGTTTGTTCTGAGAAGAATTATGTGAATATATTATATCAAAGGACAAGTGAATCAAACAAGCAATTAGATTGTGAAAAGGGTGAAAAGGAAAGAACAAAAAAGGTCTTAATTTATTTTTATTTGTACAAGTGTTCCATGGTTTATTTATTTAATTAGCAGGTGTATAGTTTGGGCAGACTTATGAAAATTTGTTACATGTTTGTTTTCTTATGTGGATATGATTTGTGATATGTACATAAGATGTGTATTGGACCACAAATATGTCTGATATCGTTTAGATTTTCCTGTTTTCTGTTACAAATTTGCAGTGCATATCTGATATCAGTAAGGATTTACAGCTCTTCAATATATCTTCATATTGCAAAGCTAGTGAAGTTCTCAGTAATCAGCAAATATGTTCTAAAATCTGTAGATAGGCATTACACACTAACTGCTTAAGAAGCGCGATCTACATATACAAAATGATCTTATGTTAATTTTGAAGCTAACCAGCACTGAATGAAGTTCTACTACACAAATATCAGATCACTGTCTTTCTCTAATCCTTGCTACTAACTTTAAAATTCCTGACAAAATTTGGCAAGATCGTATATTATGCAATTCATGCCTGTTAGTAAAAGTTCAGTGCAGGCACTAATCAGTTCTAATCACTTATTCACTTACTGGAGAATCCAGCAACATGTTCATTGCTATATCTGAAGAAGAATCACCTAAATCATCAGACCCTGAGTACGTCCCCTGCTGCTCTTTCTTCACGCTTACAGGCTGCCAAACTTGGCCTGTCATACCTGAACAGGTCTCAATCTTCCGAAAGGACTCTCCGACTTCAGAGTTCCACAGAGACAGGAAGGTATCAGAGTTGTATGTAGGATATCCTAAGGGGAAGCAGAGGGACTCGTATGTTAACCGAGCCTCGGTTTCTACTCTGATACTCTCCCATTGTGCCATGTGCCTGGTTATATGTGTAGTTGTTGGGAACATGTTGGTGGTTGTGTGATTCTTAAAATGGGTGTTCCATTGATTCTTTACATCATTGTCTGTTCTTCCTGGCAGTTTTGCTGCTATTGCAGCCCACCTGCAGATATGGCATGAATACTAATTAATACATCTTAATTCTTAAGCACTGTTTAAACAACCTAGGAGTTGAAAATTACTATGGGAAATGAAGAATTAGGGGCGTGTTTACACTGTTGTTAAAGCAATTTTAACCCCCATTATGATTTATATGGGTTTCCGATTAATATGCTTCTAGGATTTTCATAGCTTCCTTTATTATTCGTAGGAAACTACAGGTTACACAATCGCCCGATCAGGTTAAGCTCATCCGAAATACACTGATTGGGTGCAATTAGACTTGTGCGCCCGATTGGGCAAATTTAACGTACAAAAGTCCTATTCAATGTGCGCCCGATTGGGCTACGCTTGTCCAATCAGCCTATTGAGCGATCAAACAATCCATTATAACATAGCTTGACTGGGCTAACTTAGCCCGATTGGGCCTAAGGTCAAAGTTTTTGACTTCTGTTAAAAACCTGTTGATGCTTCAAATATTCAAATTTGAACATAAAGTTGTATTTAATATGAAACAGATGTAGTATATGACATTTGAACAACAATAAGATACCTATTGCCAAGAAGACCATGAAGTTGTTTAAGAATCTTGTTCTCATGGTCAGAGAAAGGCTCTCGTTTTATCTCAGGATTTAGATAGTTTACCCATCGAAGACGACAACTCTTTCCACATCGATCTAGGCCTATACATATAAACAATGTTACACTAAGACATAACGCATATCATGTAATATTACATGAATGAAAATCTATTTAATGTCACCTTTATCCAAATAAGAAAAGTCAAAACAACTGTAATATACTAGTGAAAATAATGTATAAAGGTGCAAAGGAGCACCAGTGGTCTAGTGGTAGAATAGTACCCTGCCACGGTACAGACCCGGGTTCGATTCCCGGCTGGTGCAATTTTTTTCCAAGACGATGATCTTATTTTAAAGTACAATGCATACTAATTTTTAATTTTTTTCATTATTGAAGAATGTTGTTACTATTATTTCACTTTGAATAAGACATGTTATTTAATAGAATAGCTCAGTCAAACAATGGAATAGAAAAATCCAATGATTATATGAAAAAATTTCATCCAAAAGTTCGATAGAAAAACAATACTTACACCATCTGTAAATGATGTTCTTAGTTTGACTATTTTTGTAAGACAATCACCATTAAATCAAGAATAGCTCAATTAAACAATGGAATAGAACCAATGATTATATGAAAAAATTTCATCCAAAAGTTCGATAGAAAAACAATATTTCCACCATCTGTAAATGATGTTCTTATTTTGACAATTTTTGTAAGACAATCATCATTAAATCAAGAATAACCTATACAGATGGTGGAAATATTGTTTTTCTATCCAAAAAATGCTAACCTGCAAGCTTAGGGAGAGAGTCCCAGTCACAAGGACGACCATTGTTGTTGCGAATAAAATCAATAAGCCTTTGATCTTCTTCAGGAGACCAACACCTTTTATTATTGAACATATTTTCATTATATTTCTTCTTCTTATATTTTTTACAGCTTATTGTAGATGTGTTTTTTGTGATTTTTTTTATAACTACCATAATAATGTTTTTCAAAGGGGTACATTTGTTGATGAGTTTACAAAAAAAGGGACCTCTTATTTATAGCATTAAAAAGGTTGAGTAAACTACACACTTTACAAAAAAAGTATCTACATAATTACATCAATGAGTGATAAGATTTTTCGAGGGAGGATGAATCTGAATCTGAATGTCTTTAAGTTAGAAGTGCAACATCCAGGTTTCTGAACATTAGTACATACTGACATACATAGTGCTGTATGTCATTTAATTACCATTTGCAACTATATTAAGTAATTTTCTGTTTTTTTTTTCTTTTCTTTTTTTTTTATTTGGAAAAAAAGGTAAATTAATGTTTTTTGGAAGCAATATGTCGTTGTTTATGAGTAATGAACAATCATATAGACAAAACCATTCAATCTTGAGAGTTTATTTATTATAAACTTATTATGTGCGTGCACTCGTGTAGTGGCACGGAAATAGGAATTTATAATTGGAGGACGACAAATAAACATCATATAATTTGAGAAAAAATAAATAAATAAATAAAATCCAAAATCCTTGAACACATAAAAAGTTTTACTCCGTAATAGCTAAAGTTTTACAACTCAATAATAGTTCAATAACCATATTAGATCGTACTTTGAAAGCAATCAATGATATAAATTAATAATAGTTCAATTATCATATTGATGATTGGGTTGTTTTTTGGGGTTGGGCTTGTTTGAATTAGGTGAATCATTTAACATGTTCTAACCGAATTGAAAACTATAATTTTTTTTTACAAGGAAAACTATAAATTAATAATAGTTCAATTATCATATTCTATGTACAATCAAAATTATTAAAAAAGTTTAACATCCTTAACAAGTTAACAACCCTAACATTGGAGTTTAAACAAGTAACCAGTTAAAAAATTGGTTTTAAGAATTATAATTAGGAATTCAAACCATTCGAAATTGAGCTTTAAATAATTAACATAATAAAACAAAAAAAGATTTAAACAACGAAACTCAATTTTACACTTCTTATCTTAGTCGATCACGTTTATCATGTTTTTTTTTTCCTTCTAAATAAAAAAAAAAAAAGTATTTTTTAAAAAAAAAGAGGGGGGAAAGTTGTCCCCTATTGTACCCCCTCCCGCGCCTCTGTGTACACGTAAGTATGTAACTATGGTATAGAGTATATTCTTAGTTAATTACCAATCTATTACGAATGGCAGACGGTGTATACTTTTAAATAGGGGGTGTTGACAACATTTGTGGTTCATCAAGTTATTTTATTGAATTTGCATAACATAAACATATATACATGAAATTAGAATTTTAAATTCCACTATGACTCAATTTTTGTGACTTATTTTTAGTTCAATCCTATATTTCTAGTGAACTTTTTTTTCTTTAAAAAAAAAAAAGATATTGATGATATTAATAATATGGATTGCCCCAAACTGTCAAATCGGACCCTTTTAAGCTTTTATAGTTTCATAACTTTGTTATAAATTTTGAAATCAAATTTCATCTATGTCCAACCACTCAATATAATTCATGCTTCTTCTATACGCTAAATACTGGTACTAAGTAATTAAATATCCTATACTTGTATAAATGGAGAACATTACTAAGGACAGCCGAGCTAGGAAAACCTAAAGTATGTAATCTTGCAGGAATGCTTAAATTGCATTTAAAATTATCGCTCGCATTAATTTGTTAGCATTAACATGTACTTTCTTCCATTTTTTATTATGAGAAAAATCCCAAGTAGTACACCACTTGGATATTAAATAGTCTTTTGTGTTTGACAAAGAGAGTGTGTGTCAGAGTTTTTGTGGACTAAACTTCAGTTACTTGTAGTCTTTTTCGAGTAGTAAGATTTTGTTTTAGGTGATATTTAATAATTACTACTCCCTCCGTGTTTTTTGTAAGTGATACATGTTGACGGGCACATAGTTTTAGACAATTTAATTGATTTAAATAAAATAAGAGGTAAGTGGGGTAGTGGAGTATTAAAGAATTGTTAAAAATAGATAGTGGGGTTAATAGTTTATTGAAAAGTAATGAATGTGAGATGAAAGATATAATAAAATAGTAGTAGTGGGTTTGGGTGGGGACCGTGAGAGGAGAGAGATATAATATTTTAATGTATTGTTTTGCCAAAAAAGAAAATATATCACTTAAAAAAACACGGTCAGAAATGGAAAATATATCACTTAAAAAAACACAGAGGGAGTATAAATAATATGACAAAATAATTATCTGAATTTTCCTGCATGTATGAATTTAGTGACTGTCCTGAAAGCAAAGAATGAAATTATCTAGATTTAAGTGATTTTTTCTATGACTATTTTCAGCTATTTATTAGATATGAACTACCTCGATCATTCTATCTATCCCCCTTGTTTCTATATTTTGTAAAAGAAATCTAGAGAATGAAAGACTTAAAAAACATTAACCCTATTAATTAGATATGTACTACCTCTTTATCATATTTTGCTTAGGTAGTGCATGTTGCACTTATACTAATCTTTCGTACACTAATCATAATTAAAAAGTGTCGAGGATGTATAAAACATAATATTCTACCTAAAAAAAAAAATAACTCTCTGTATCTCTGATCCTTTTGTTTTTGCCTCAATTTTATTTTTGATTGGTACTTCGTATGTACCGTGACTATGAATTTTATAGAAAATCATTTCTTTATTTTCCTGTTTACTAAATTTAGTCCTATTGCGGAGTATTTTTTTCCTTATCTATTCCACTGCTTATAATTATTTGACAATTTGTAACATAATATTAACAAAATTTAAATATTTCAAAAGGAAAACTTTAACGGATAATATATATTTAATTATCAATAATTAAATTATAAAACAAATTGATACAATATTAAAATTGTATATTAAGATGATTTTAGTAAGTAACTGTATAATTATACTTTATATATTAAATATAAATAACAAAAATTGATTAAAGTGATTATTAGGTGAATAATGCAAAAGTTAAGTGTAGCATTTATTTTGTACTACGTATAAAAGTACTCCGTAGTAGTTTTATCTACTTTGTATGCTTTACTCCAATGTGACACATTATTAATTATTGTAAGAAATTAATTGTGCTACTCTACTATGTCTAGGACTCTAGATGTATCTTGAATGCATGAATAGTAAAGTTGAATTTTCAAACCTTTGTAAATTTAAATTTTTGTCCAATTAGCTTTCTTAAGAAAAGAATCCCAATGTATTCTATACATGTATATACTTGCACAAAAATTCTAGACATATATCTTTATTCCTTTATCTAGAAAATGATGCGGAGTAACAGAGTAAGTTTAAAGTATTTGTTATTTTCACATACATTTTTCACAAATTTATAAATCAATCAAAGTATATTAATACCAAATCATCATTATTTCAAAACATTCATTATATTGATAAAATTAGACTATGATAACTAATTTTAGATAAAGGGCTTGTTCTCTTCAGCTTATTTTCAGTTCAGTTTAGTTCCAATAAGTTCAGTTCAATTCAGCTTCAATTAGTTCAGTTCAGTCAATCAGAACAAGCTCGGAAAGAATTATCATTCATCTTTCTCTCTTTTCTTCATATAAACATTCATTGCAGAATTCGCTTGACAAAGTAAAAGATTTATCATTCATCTTTCTCTCTTTTTTCTTCATGCTCAAGAAAGCTCAAACATAATTTGTTGCTTTTTCAAAAGTGCGTGGATTCACCACATTATCAATGTGAGTTAAAAAAGGACAATGTTCATAAAAGGAATAAAATAACCACCTTCATAACGTAACATTTGGACAAATTAAGTTATAAAGTAAAAGAAATGCTAAAAGCATAAAAGTGAGGCAAAGTGGCAAACTTCATACACGCAAGGCAAAGGCTAAAAACACAATATTGAATCAAGGACAAGTATATTCTTATAATTTAATCATCTTCTTAGCTTGAAAAAAAAATAATGGCATAACATAGTATTAAGTCATAAGGAATTACTTGATCTCCAAGTTATCTTATCTTTATAAAGACCCTTCTTTATTCCATTTTTCCCCTAGTACGCTCTAATAATTATCTTTAGTTTGTAATCTCAAAATTATATAAAGCAATCTTTAATTAAAGTATAATCACAAAACAAAATTAAATGGTTAAGCTAACAATAATTGGAAGAATTAGAGATGGCATGCCAATGTCACAAGGTCTAAGGTATGCCAATGAAGATTACAACAACATACCATACTACAAACAACAAGCTGAATTCATTCTCAAAGAAATCTCAAGAGGTTCTTTAGCACCTAATCCAAAGATGACCATTCGCCTCGATCATCAACATTCTTTCAAGTATAATATCCCTAGCAAGTTCCCCTCTAAAGTTTTGATTTAATTTACGCGAATTTGTATTGCTAACATATTTTTTCTAATGGTCATTATAAGTTGTTTGGTAGCTTGTGGTGTTTGCTTCATCACATTGTGTGATTCTTCATATCCAAGAACACTAGCCTTTCATTACCTTGAGGATTTGAGACATGAGTTAGAGAAATTTCAAAGCGATCAACTTATGGATAAAATTACTAGACCATATAGTTTTTTCAAGTTTGGTAAGCATTTCTTACTTGTATTGTTAATATTGTTTTCCTCTTTTGTTTGTTAATTTGATTATCTTGAAGATGTTTATAGCGCGAAATTAAATCCTATGTTTTTTTTTTTTTTTTATCTTGTTTGATTATATGTAGATAGTGTGATTATCAACATTAGGAAACAATATGTTGACACAAGAACACAAGCTAACCTAAAGAAGTTGAATGCTAATCGTGGACAAGAGATGAGTATATCAATAGAAACTATGTCTGCAGTTATAGAAAATAGAAAGCAATTAGGTAAATTAAAAATGCTCTTTCTCCAATTATTTAGCTCATATTTTCAATGAATTTTGTGAAAAGCTAAACTACATTGTTTTTGATAGAGTATAAAAACATCATTTAATAGTTTTCATTGCTTTTAAATTACTAGATTATATGGAAAGAGTTGTGATGGCTGCTCCTCAAATTGTTTCACCAATATGGGGTTCTCGGCGTCTTGAGGTACACAATCTTAAATTCGAAAGAACGATTTTGTAGAGGTGATCAATGGGAGGGGCGAGGCGGGTTCAAGTCGGGCCAAAGTTAAATATGCCCATTTATCGGGTTGGGCCAAACTTTGGGTGCCCAAACTAGACAGGGCAAGCGGGCTTTTTGGGCCAGGCAAAAAACCAAACAAAATTGCATAAAATTGATTTCCTATGTCCGCCCAAATTTTTTTAAAATCAGACGGGCCAGGCCTGACCCGATTTCGGGCTGGAAACAGTTGTTCAAAGCCCGCCCAAAATCAAGCCGGGCTCAACTTGATCACCTCTACAATTTTGAAGCTTAATAATGATACGGAGTACAAAAGTAAGCTTACAATTCATCTTGTGCAACAGATTATTGCGTTGAAATGGACACCAATTGGCATTTCAATTAGTGTTGTGGTGGTTCTTCTGCTGTGGGCGTCTTTGATCATGGCAGATTACGTTGTCCTGTGCTCGTGACACAACGTTGCAGAAATTCTCCAATTGCGTGAATATATATATATATGTGCTATCTCTAATGTCAAATTGTCAACAAATTTGAACGAACCAAGATAATTTCTCTTTATCTTATGGAGTGAGTTAACTTCCAAGTAGATAAAGAATAACAATAAGATTGTATATGCAATACAAGGAAATTTTCATTATGTGGCACATTATCTCTTATAAAGAACATATACTATTTTCCTTAATTGGTTTAAGAATCAAGATATACTTCCTTTCCTCTAAAGTCTAAATGGTCAATTTGTTGAGAACATTGTATTGTGAATCTTGTGACCATTATTTAGGTCACTAATCTGCTTGGGCCTCCTTGATCATGACTTGGTTTCCAAGTTCCAACCGCCCAAAGTAATATCTTTATTGATTTTAGGTTTGATTAGTTGATTACACACAAATAAAAATAGTGCAAATCAATTACATGTGGTTGATCGATAATAGTAATATTAATTGTAATTTGGTCAAAAGACTCTTTTGTTCTTCAAAGTTAATCTAAGGTTTAAAAGCATACATACATAGTCATTTTAAATTATGACGTTGTAGACGTGTAAGATTTGTTGTATTTTACAAAATGTACCGATTGAAAATTTAAGACATCTAGTGGTTGTGGATCTGTAATATTGACAATTCTAAGCCCAAGTCCGTATCCAACAATAAGGATTCCAAAATAAATAGTATATTGATAATTCTAAGCCCAATTGTATATCCAAAAATAAGGATTCCATAATATATAGTATGTGTGCATTTCAAGTTTTAACTTAATAGTTTTTAGTTAGGTTACTTCAAGATTTGTACATATCGTTATTTTTCCATAATATTAAAAACATTATTGACTTGACTTTTTATATACTACGTATATATAAATTTATTGGGCCTCCTTCTCTAAGTTCCCACATCTCAAGCTCTCAACAACAACATTTTTTTTTTCTTTCTCTAAACAATTGTATTTAGGATTTTTTTGGTAAGTGATAAAAATTCGATTTAACTAAGGAATAATTCGACCACATTTGAATTGATTAAAAAAGACTTAAACCAAAACTTTTCGCCTGACAAACTTCAATCTACATATGTAAACATATTTTTTTATGTTTCTTTTGATGTTTGAAGAGCCACAAGGGCGAGTTATGAAAATCGATTTTAAAATCCCCTATAATTAAAAAGAGGGTTCTAACCACTTGAGCTATTTTATGGCCTATTTTACACTCTCAAAATATTTGTTATCTACTTAAAATAAAACACGTTTTTAGTTATACATTGGTTGTTAGCATCCTATGGTATGTCATCACACGTTTTTTAGTTATACATTGGTTGTCAGCATCTTAGGTCATTTTAATTAATGGGTCCCAAAGTTGGAGCCGCCAATGAAAAAAAAAAAAACAGATGCTTGAAAATTAACAATTTCATACCATTGTCTTTTTGATTAAGTATTCAAGTGTATAATACATTACCAATATATAAATACACAATTTTCAAGTCTTGCTTGGTCATTATATCTAAATTAATGGGTGTTACAGTAGTAGTTTAATACGATATTTGGACACAATATTTTTGTCGGATCTTTTTGGATCAGTATCTCACCAAATAAATATATGTAAAGTCTTGTATACGTATATGAATATGATATGTAGATACGACGGTATAATACAAATGCATGCATGGAATGAGATACGTATGTACAACTATTAAAAAATTTCTCCCATTTTTCTCATTGGTTATTATTTCAAGTTGTCTCATTATTGTTGATATTATAAGCTAAGGAAATTTATTTACAAAAATAATTTTCTAAAGATATTTCCACCATTCGCTCTATTTTACATTGCATGCATTATTCGGCTACGTATACATTACTCATTAATTCACATAGTATTCTTTGTCTATAATTTGTGATTTTACACATAAGGAAAAACATTAATCATCATGTGAGATCTTACAAGGTCGAATCATTTCGATATATAATTTTAAAATATTAACTTTTTTTGTTTTATTTTTATTTTTTTTACTACGGATAATTAAAGATATTCATAGGTAAAGTTATACTAAGTATATTGTGAAGTGTGAAACTTTGATCTAAATGGTACATTAAGAAAATATTTTGGAAGAAGAATAATTTACACTTGGACAAAACTAATGACACATTTCATGTGAACATATAGAGTATGTCATCATTCAAAGCTCACTAAGAATAATATATTTTAAGTTAATTTCCCTAATTGTGAATGGTTCGAGGAAAGCATCTATACCATTAAAACTCATATAATTGAGTCATTGATCATTGAAGGTTGAATTATTAATTTTAATTAATAGCTTGTATAGAGAACAAAATAACTTAGCTGATTCTTCATGAAAGTCATTGATAACAAACGAACAAATGAATTAATATTTTCCCACCAAACAAAAAGCTTTGATTAATTTGGTAATAATTAATGAAAAGGTGTTACAAGATAGTATAATTCACACATGATACATATATATTATTACATACAGAACCTTATGAAGATCTAATTAGATCTGTTTTTTTTTTTTTTTTTAACAAATTTCTTGTATCATTGCTAGGCTTTACTTAATTACGTTAAATTTCTAAGCATATTTATTACTCAGTGACAAGCGTAGAACTGATATGAGCTACTATGAGAAGCTACGGTACTAGTCACTCAGAGCGACATATTCTAAACAAATACGAAGTACTACATAAATTATAATTTGTAATCATGTTAAGATGGATTGCACTCATTATTTGTTAAGATTAGTCGTCCATTAGTTTCTTTATTATTACATTCTTATTTTACATTTGTTGTCTGGTTAAGCTTGTCAAATCACATCTTTAAACATTAATATACAAAATAGTTAACTACACGTGAAAATTTTGAAAAAATAATAAAATATTTTATGAGAAATTGAATATAGACTCCACACCGAATTCATCATCAAGATCTCTCGTGATAATATATTTTTCTTATATAGAGTATAGATATAAGTAACCAAATACAATTAGTGTCACAAACAAAAAGAAGCAAGGTATAGTATCAAATTATCAATACTTATAACAATAATTATTTGTCCTTCCAAAATTAAAAAATGAAAAAAAAAAAAATTGCGGAGTAATTATTTGTAATATGATATAAGTAAATGCCAAATTGAAAAACCAGAATTTTTGGTATAAAGTAGTGGCTTGTTGTACCCGTCAAAAACACTATAGTAGCTTGTAGAAATAAAAAAATAAATTCAATCAATTTATAAATTATCTTCTTAATTATTAGATATTTTATTTGCCGACAATTATGTACGGAATATTATTTTATGCGCACAAAGTATAACAGATTACTGTTGCATTAACAGTAACATCAATTCAGTCAAATACTCATCAAGATGTATTCGGTTTTCCAAATGGTACGGTTTAACAAAATGGCACGACGAAATAACAATGTTGTTTCGATAAATATAGAATAACTATAGGTGCATAGCACCACTATGTTAGCTGCACCTCTATGTTAGCAAAAATATAGGATGACATTCTTAAAATTAAGTTGAACTTTGTCACATAAAATGGGATAAGGTGGAAGAAATTTTGGTCGAAAATATGATAGTAAAAAGTATCACTACGTGTATAATAAGTAAATAAAAAGTACTATTAAGACAATTTGTACTTAATGGTACTTTGTACATGTATAAAATAGTATACATGAATGTACCACTGTAGCATAATAGTACACATGAATGTACCGCTATAGAAAAACATCAAACGAAAAAAAAAAAAATTGAAAACCCAAAATACCCTCCTATATACATGCTAAATTAATAGGTGTTATGCGCCTATAATCTATATGCACTCGTAAATATATAAAGCATATATTTTTCATCTTACATGCGTTGATTTGTTACGATGTGTTTTTTCTAATTATTATTAACTTTGTTTGAAGAATGTGTTTTTCTAACAAACAATACTACTTAATTAGCTAACCTTTGTTTCAAAAAAAAAAAAAAACTTAAAAAACAGTAGAGCTGTTAATTCGGGTAAACGGGTCGGGTAAGAGTGGGTCGGGTCAACTCGGGTTGGGTCAATTCAGATTAATTCCATAACCTATGCAGGTCGGGTTTGGGTTGGGTCATGCTTGAGTCGGGTCACGTCGGGTCATACTTCTTATCGGGTTTGGGTTGGGTTTAGGTCAGGTTAATAACAGGTTGGGTTACATTCGGGTCGGGTGAACAATAGGTCGGGTTTAATTATGGTTTTCACGGGTTAAAACGGGTTAGGGTAATTCTTGGGTTCGGTTCAAGTCAATAATTTACGGGTTAGAATCAGGTCGGGTCATTCTTGGGTTTGAGTCGGGTTCGGTTCAAGTCAATAATTTGCGAATTATAATCAGGTCGGGTCATTTTTCAAGTTGGGTCATTCTCGGGTTCAAGTCGGGTTCGGTTCAAGTCAATAATTTGCGGTTTATAATCAGGTTGAGTCATTTCCAAGTCGGCTCATTCTCATATTCAAGTCGGCTTATGTTCAAGTCAATAATTTGCAGGTTACAATCAGGTCGGGTCACTTCCAAGTCAGGTCATATTCGGGTTCAACTAACTATATATAGATAATTATCATTTTTATCAAGATAATTATTTCCTTTTACTATAATATATATGGCAATATACTAGGGAACTATAGTCTATAATTTAGGAAGATAATTATCTCCTTTGCCCATACAACAAATATATACTATATTTAACTCTTAAATTTGAGGATGTTACTCCTTTCTTTTGCTGGCCTTGACCGACTTGGTCTCCCGAGACAAAATTCTTTGATCAACAATAATAAGGTGGTTTAAATTTCATTTAAGGTGATTTGAAATCGGGTCAGGAACTATTTGGGTTGAATTTAGGTCGGGTCAATATATAACAAGTCGTGTTAATTTCGATTCGAACTAGTAACAGATCGGGTTGAATTTTTGGGTTGGGTAAAATAATATGTATGGTAAAATTCGGGTCAGGTCAATAAGAAGTCGAGTTGAATTTGGCCATTTGGGTCAGGTCAATAACAGGTCGGGTTGATTTCGGGTCAGGTTTGTAACAGCTTGGGTTAACTTCAGGTTGGGTTCGGAACAGGTCGGATTGAATTCAGGTCAGGTTAGTAATAAGTCGGGTTAAATTCGGGTTTTGACGGGTTAAAACAGGTTTGGGTCAATTTCGGTTCAAATCGGGTTCGGTGCAAGTTAATTAAATTGGCCGTTGTAAACCGGTAA